CCAAAACTTCTATTTCATCAATTTATAAACATAGAACTAGTTTTAATTAGTTCTAGGATGAACTTTAGATCGAGCATTAATTGTGTTTTGATTGAATTATGTTGTTGTTATGAAAACTATATTGTTTCTCAAAACCGTATTTTTTAAAAAGTTTTCAAAAACTTTGCCCATTAGGATTGATTTAGAGAACCTTGAAATATTGAGGACTCAATTGAGTTTTGGGATTGATTGAATTACATACATGTTTTTTTTTTAAATTTGCAGGTTACATATTCTATTCCGATTCTTAAACCATGTCAAATCCTAAACGACCTAGGACATTGTCTAGTCGCTCAAGTCAAAACCGACCTCTTATTCCTCCACCCAATCCAAATAACCCAAATATGATCATTATGAACTCTTGTTTCAACGTACCTGGTTATGGACAAGATCTATACCATATGTACCATACTTGTTTTGAGTCATATAAAATCTGGGAAGAGTGTATCCCTTCGATCCAAGCTATAGAAGATATGGACTTCCAATATCTTCCTACTCTTAAATCCTAAAAGTTTTATAAACTCTTTTAACTCAAACCTTTGGTTTATCATCAATTAGTCCGTATTTTTCTATTCCAATGTGATATGTGTCCAAAACGAGCTCCGATATGAAACTATAGGAATTTGATCCTATCTTTTAGGACAATTCATTTTTATTGACTCCGGCACAATCGCTACCCATTTTGGACTAGATACCTCAGGTTTAATGAAAAAGGGACTGTGGATTCACCCTATAAGTCTAAGGATAGTGAGAGTACCCTAAGAACTCATCGTGATAGATTCATTCATTATTTGATCTCTTGGTGGTTTAGACCATCCGGAGGTAGGTACTCCTCCCTTAGGAACATAGATATATGGTGGATATATTGTATCCAACAAAAAAAGAAGATTTATCTGCCACAGATCATTTTTAGTGAGTTTCCATAAACATTGTTCCTTCCAAGAATATAGAAATCTTGGTTTATGGTTGTCTCCTTAGTAATTTGTTTATCAAACTCGGTCTTTGGGTCAATGGGTTTATCGTCCCGAACTCAGGACTTTTAATTGTGAAACATTTTGATGTTCATGGATTGTTTTATTTTGCGTGTTTGAATTTGTTGGATAAATGAATATTTGAACTTATATGCTTATATATTTGGTTTGATTTTCACTTTCATTTTAATCTTAATGTTTATTTTTGCATCATTTACATATTAGTTGCATTATGACCAATTTTTGTCATTTCACATTAATTATGAATATTGATTATGAAACTAATGGCTAACGTTTCTCTTGCTTGTGATCTTAGCAGCTTATATTATATATAATCAATTGGCTAACTGATTTCAAAACCTTGTTTAAATTCTTTAAAATGTCTTTTTGATTTAACAAAAAGGGGGAGAAGTGTTAAAGCGTTTTTAAATGATAAATGGGAGAAGTGTTAAAGTGTTTTTAAATGATAAATGGGAGAAGTGTTAAAGTAAGGGGGAGTAATTTCAAAACTTGATTTCAAAATCTTAAAATTACTAAAATGTTTTTGTTATATCAAAAAGGGGGAGATTGTTGAAAACATTTTGATATTTCGATATAACAAATTAAGTTAAATGAATTTTAAGATTTTCCAAATGATTTTCTAAGTATATTCGATAGAATTATTCGAATATCAAAACATTACTCCAAATCTTTCAAAGATCATTTTTAATCCTTACTCAAAGTGTAAAATTAAGTTTTAATCTTAAAACAATTTCAAAATAATTTTACAAAGTATTTCGAACCATTTCAAAGCCAAAAATTCCAGATTGCTCATAGGGAACCGATTCCCCCCCAAGGGGGTACCGATTCCCCCCTGAATGGTTTGGCTCCGAGATTTCCAGAATGCTCGGAGGGAACCGATTCCCCCATAGGGGGTACCGATTCCCCCTGTTCAACGGTCAAAATATTTGAATTTTACACTTAGGGAACCGATTCCCCATAGGGGGTACCGATTCCCCCCACGCTCCAAACTGTTTTATTAATTGTTTTCACACTAAAACGGCTATATGATCTTCACTAATCATCTCCAACGTTCAGAAGAGATTCAAGGTGTATTTAATCAAGTTCTGAAGCCCTTGATCAACAAGAAATCATAGAGAAACAATAGAGAAAGCATCAAACACCAAGTTTGTGCAAATCAAGCCAATTTTCCTTTCAATATTCATTTTGCTTTCAAGAACACCATTTGTGCTCATTTGTAATTATCTTTGAGTGTTCTTTTCTTGTTCTAGAATTGTGCAAACATCTTACCTTGTGAGGTTTTCTTGTAAGTTTGCAAATTTGTAATCTTCTCTTTGGGAAAAAGAGTGTTCTCAAGAGTTGGGGTATACTCTTAAGGGATTTTGTAAGGTTATCTCTTTGGCCTCAAAAGAAAGAACAAATTAGTGAATTTGTTGGAAAATCCTTAGTGTGGATAGTTAAGGTAGTGGACGTAGACTTTGTTTGAGAAAGTCGAACCACTGTAAATCGCTGTGCAATTACTTTCAATTTTTCTGCAAAAGCTTCCACGAAATTTTTAATTGCCAATTCACCCCCCTCTTGGCCGATTCCGTCGATCGATTAACTCAACATTCCTCAAATCTAGTATTTTTATTCTTGATTATTTGAAATGATTAGGTCCTGGTTTGTATTCATAATTATTATGGTTTGGTTCTAACACCTTTTGTTGCAATAGGCATCGACAAAGGGAATGATTTTATTGTGCAACCAACAAGCCACCTTGGGTTGGTGTTGTTAAAGAGTGATTCAAGTGAATATAATGGAGATGGCGAGGTGTTTGAAAAAATTGAAAATTAGAAAACTTTTGGATAAGTTAGATATAAAATTATTTTTCAATGACCTATTAAATGTTTTAGTGACCAATTTGTTGCTTTTGAAACTTCAGTGGGGAAAGCAAAAACTTACTCATACATTACCAACCATTTGTGTAGCTTATCCTTTCTAATTTTATATATGCATTGTGCCAAGTCATCAATTCGTTAAAGGTCTTACGGCAGTTAATTCTCAATGACCATATCTTAATTAAAACAAAATGAAAGTGACCAAATATTATGATTTTTGAATTCAATGAGAAAAAATAATCAGTTTACCCTTCATTAAATTATCAGTTTTCAATTTTAAGAGTTTGTTTGCGGAAAGCTATTTTGGACTGGACAAGTTGTGTTGGGCCTAAAACTATTTTAACCATTTCTGACGAAATCTTTTAGGTTAGGAAAAAAATAACCCAATGTTTCAATATTATTGAAAACCTAAAAAAACATCATTATACACACTTAGTAGTTAAAATGAGTGTTATTTTCTTTTAAAATTTTGAATTTAAATAATTATATTTATGGTGTATACATTATCAATAACTAAGATAATTTATAAATAGATACTACAAACTATTCAAAAGATAAGATTAGGCCTCATTCCTCATATTATATATATAACTTAATCTTGAATTTTTTAGGGAAAAACAATTAAGTTTCTTTTCTGTTTTCAATTGATAACTATAAATATTACTTTGATTTTAATAAAAATATAAATTTATTTAAAAGAATAAAATTAAAAATATTGAAGAGAATATTAAAATATTAAATTTGGGCATGAATTAAGGGACCACGATGGTAAAAGAATTGTTGTTATTTATTGAGGTATCGAGTTTGAACACCATGAATGCCAGAGTGTGAGCATTCAATATCAAATGATTGAGAGTTATTTTTTGAACTGATACTACCTTGTACTTACCCTAGATTAATTAAAAAAATAAATTTGGGATATATCTCTATAATAAATCTTTGTAGGTTTAATTTATTTCTTTTAATAGTATTATTCTAAATATTTAAATCTAATTCTCCTTTAATATATATATATATATATATATATATATATATATATATATATATATTATCATTATACAATAGTTATTGATATTCAATATATATAATGGAAAAATCATGATTTCTGCAAATATTATTTTTTCTTTATAAAATTTCATTTATTATATGGCAAGCACTTGAGAGTAAAAGATGATGAGTGAGGTATAGTTAAAAAACAAAACCAAAACCCGGATAGTGTTGCTATAAACAAAACTTAGAAAGCATCCCTTATAAACAAGATATTTTTAAGGATGTGTTTGTAAATTATAATATAATTTTTATCGTATTAAATGTAATTATAATGTATATTAATTGTTGTAAATATATTTAGTTGATAAAACATAATTATACTATAATTCATTATCTCAAACATGATATATAATATTAATTATAAAAAATTAAAGAATATAACTATATATGTGTTTATATCAATGTTCTCTCTCATAAAAATTGAATACCATAATTGACATCTTCAATTACAACTAATTTAATGTAATCTATAAAGTATAAAAATTATATTATAATTATATTTCATCATAAGTCTCATCTATCTATTTTAATTTTTTATTTAAAAATATATATTTGATCTATTTATTGCACATATATCCAAACATAAGAATTTAATATTCTGTAGCTTGGAAAATTGCAGTAGTGGTGGTTTCCTCTCGTCACATAGACAATTGATTTATATTTTGCATCAAATATCTTTGTTTTTTTAATTCTTTGATTATGTTTGCCCCATCACATGCGCATGGCTAAACTTTGATGGGAAACATTAAATTAACAGAGATTGAAAGGTATATGCTCTGTAACAATTATTTAAGAAAACTTTACTTTAGATACGCATTTCATGCAACTCAACTAAACTTTCCCACGGTTTTAGTAGGCAAAGATGAGGTTTTTGCGGTCCAGAATATTGAAAAGCTTTAGATTTTAAACAACAAACATATAATACCTCTGTTCCCACTGTTCATTCATTAGAATGGTTAATGGTCGGTTCGGCTGGGTGTGACGATCAGTTTTTTTTTTTTTTATAGTTGTTTCTTTGTTTATATCTAGGTTCAGTCGGTATCAGATATTGCTCTTAAAGTCTATTTTATTTTTTGAATGTAATATTAAAATGTTATTTTATAACTAAAATAAACATATTTAATTCACATGCTTTATTTAATAGTATTTTTGTTTGTTATGACATGATATGAGACAAGCATAACAAAATCAAGCATTGTATCTTATTGTGTTTGTTTATGACATGATATGAGATAAACATATTTAATTCCCATGCTTTATTTATTAGTATTTTTGTATCTCGTTTTTGTGTATACTTTACTTTTCAATGAAATGTTTTTTCCCTAAATAAAAATTGAGAAAATTAAATTAAATTAAATTTTACTCTTAAGAATCCTCCTCGAAAAGCGGTAAACAAGGTAGTTGAAACCTGGGAACGTGTAATTTTGTCATATAGTTACTTCACTTAGAATAGCCGATCCGACGTCGTCTCAAGCCTTACCTTGGAAGGAACACCAATGGGCAAGTTGTACATCAATTTTTAGATATATATTCAGACACCCAACCACCTCTTTGCCTTTACAGTTTTCCCTTTTTTCTCAATCATTTCTTTTTCTTCTTCAACATATTATCACTTTTAATGAATTAAAATTATTAATTACTATATTTCCTTGCTTAATATTGCAGTAAGCTCTTGAATAATATTACGGAAATTAATATCCGAATGTATTTCTTAATTTATAAATAGATATAAAACAAATTTCAATTATGTTACGATAAATATATATTAGGTGCATATTAAATTTTGAGAGTGTCTTCTTCAAAGATTGAATTATCCTATAAATATTAAGTTAAGCACCATGCTTATATTCAACGAATTAATAAATGCACAGAAAGCTTTGTACATTTTTATAAATAATTAAACAAAAGAGAGATTATGATTAATAATTAAACACTCTCTTTCCTTCCCTGACAATTTCAAAATAAACCCCTATATGCAAATTTGCATGCTTCATAAATCTGAACTATTTTAAATTATTGTTTTCTTTTTTACAAAAAGCAATAGTACCCCTAAAGAAAATACTTTAAAACATGAATTTGAGCCAAGTTATCGAGCTCTTTGTAACGTTTTCGGCTTCATTGGAGCACGACGCCGTTTTCTTCTCACGGTCCTTCAACGCCGCCGTTTTTGTGCAAAGGAAGAAATTTCTCGATCCCAACTCCATCAGCTTCTCTTCTCTTTCCAAACCTGCGGCCAACCCCACGAAAAATATTGGCCATCAATCAGAGCCGTACGTTATCCTAAAACATACAGTCAACTAATCTAACGGTTAAGAATTCTTGAGAGATCGTTTTTTTTTCTTACTTTCTAAGCTGAATTGAGAATAATGGAGATCGAAAAGGGCGGCGTCCGATGGCGGTAAGATTGGCCGACGACCTTCCTTCGAGTACTGCTTGACGGAAGCGGCTATCAGGTCTCCGACGCTGTTTTCCGGGGAAATCAACACTTGCACGGCTCCGAGGCTGCCTTGAATCGTCACGTTGAATAGCAGCTTCGTCCACTTCGGTCTTACATCGGAGGAGGTCGTAGTAGCCTTCTCTTGAAGTAGCTCGGGCAGCGTCTTCGGCCGCCTCAGCTCCGCCGGTGCCATCGTCGGAATTCTCCCGTGAAACGACGACGCCTTTTCAGATAACCTTCCCCTCCGACTCCTCTCTGATTCCTTCCGCTTATTATTTGAATTCGACATCGAATCGAACTTATCGACGGTAGAATATTATGCAATAATTCAAAAAACAAAAACAAGAAATTTTTTTTGGTGTTGTTTTCTTTGGGTTGGCAAGTAGACAAACGATTACCTCAATCGCCGGAGACGGTAATACCTGAACTGAGGGAAACCGAGGGCGGAATCCGTGCGACGGCTCTCGGGTTTCCGATCACAGTAAGCTATCATCAACTGAATAGTATAACCGTAAATAAACAAAGAACACAAGGGCAAACAGAAAAGCTAAGACAGCAATAAGATAGGATGCACGCTGCCTTAAGTGGCCAACCCTCACAAGTCACAACCTATTTATATTGGGATGGAAAATGACGAGAAAGAGAGAGAGAATTGGCTATAATGAAATCATTGAATCTCTTTCTCCCTGGGGTAACCGGCTACATCCGGTGAGGAAATAAAGTGTTGGTCAATTTTTGTATTAGATTCTTGTACTATGTGATTTTGATGATTTTTTATTAAATCAAGATAATAACATTATAGTATATATTTAAAGATAATTTTAAATTATTTAATATTGAACGTTTATATTTTTAATATTTATGGTGTTTGAATCTTAAATCTTAAAGAATAACAATTCGTTATGTGATTTTGATGAATTTAGTTTCTATTATAATTTTTTTTAGACTTTTTACTTTTTTTAACTGTATTTTTTAGTTTAATTGCTATTTTTTCATTTGTTTTATTAAATAATTTGATGAAATTTTATAAAAAATTATTAGATATTAATTCAAATTTTAATTAATAATTAAGTTATATTTTATTGCATTTTCTAAAATTTTTAGGGTTTATGTGATCTCTACATTTATAACGAGTTATTATTTTTTATCCGTATAAATAGATAAGATAAAATTATATTAAATATTACATTTTACATGTATCTTATTATTTTGTTAATTTTGCTCAATTATTTTGTGTTCCTAAATTACTAACAGAAACGCGTAATATAGCTTATCATGCACACTTTAACATTTTTTAAAATTAAAACTTTTTTTTTTTGCACATTTAAAAGAGGTAAAAAAAATATGATCATTGATAAAAGGAAATAAAAGTCTAAATTTGTTAAAAACGTATAGTATAGGGACTTTGTATAGAGTTTGACCTAAAGCAATATCCTTTCCCGCGAGTTAATAAGAAGTTGACCGGTAACTGCCAGCGGATGCGACATTTCTGTGATTACTTGTGGGGAGCTGCTTCTCGTTGAAGTGGGCTGGTGAAGTAGTGAGCTTGGTTTAGTACATGAAAAATGCATGGTCCAGTTATTTTGAAACACGTGGAGACAAGATAGGGTGAAAGAAGATTGGTTTAATGTTGAAAACCCACATGACTGCCACGTCGACCAACGGGGCTTCCTACTTTATTTATCTTTTTGAATGATGACGTTACATTCTCAATTTTATTTGTCCTATTCGTTAAAATTTATACATTTCACAAGATAAATTTACTAATAAATAGCTTGTATATTATCAATTGATTTTTAGGTAGATATTTTCACTTACACGAGATTACTGTTGCGATAGAGTTTTGACACAATGTATATAGTAGTATATGACAATTACTTAACACATTTAAATTTATAAATTTTTATTTATTCGAAGGTCATGTGTTTTATTTTAAGTATAAGTTCAAGAGAATGTATAGTTTTAAATTTATGATTTATATTTAGAGTTTATTGTTTATAATTTAAATTTTGAATTTAGGATTTTGTTGCACTTATCTGGAGTTTATTCATTAAGATTCTTTCAAAAAAAATTAAAAGTTTTCAAAAAAAAATTATTATATGAAATTTCATACCTTTCAATCAACTGTGGTCTCTTGACATACACATGTAATTTATCAACTAAATTTATTATTTGATAATCAAATTTATTTATATTGTCAATCTGTAAATAATCATCACCCTAGGCCTATTACCAACATTATAGACATGTACATAACTCGTTAGACTGAAATGACACAAGGAGACTGAGTTCTCTGGATCTCTCTTAAGATGATTCATCTTATTCAGATCATTCATCCTTTTTATTCTCTAAAAAGAATCATTGATGGCGACTCTTTATCTAAATAAAAATGGATTAGTGGCCAAAATGTTATTATAACCTCATTTCTATCATCAACAGGTTTAGAATTTAAAAATTAAGTTTTATGAGTTAAATTTAAATTTAAGATTAGAATAGACATAATTATATGATCTAGAATTTATCAAGATTGTTTTAATATTAATTTAAAAATTACATTCATGTTTTAATTTAATTAATATTTTTTTAAGATCAAGACCTCAAACGTCTTTATTCTTTAAAAAAAAGTTAAAATAATCACAGAAATAATTTAACTTTTCCAAATAAACATTAGTTAAAATAACCACAGAGACAATTTACATATTTAGAAATTGGGATGTTAAACGAATAAAAACAAACTTGACAATCAATCATAGATTCACCATGAATGATAAATATTGTTTTTTAGTCCTTTGCATATAGATTTAAATATAAACTTAAGGGATCTTTTTATCAATTTTAGAAAATCACGAGAGTTTTTCCTATTAATATAAATGGATTGAGCCAATCACATGCATATGTTTATACACATGGGTATAACTTAAATTGACGCAACTAGACATGTTCGAAAATTTTATTATTTATCAAATATTAAAATAATAGATCTAAATAAAAAAATTATTAATATTTATAATTTAATACTGTCCGTTAAATAAGATAATCGTTTCGCTGGTACCGAGATTAGTTTTTTCCTTGAATTATGTCCTTAAATAGATAACACAACCAAAATCCTTTAGTCAAAAAGGGAAGTTTTTTCACTTCCAATTATGTATAATATTTAATATTAATGTATCGATAATATATAATTCTGTATGACATCAATTATAAGTTCATCTAGTATATTGAATATTTGAATCTTAATATTATAAATAGAATAAACTGAATTTAAAGAATTATTTTTATAATGTACTTTTATCCAATAATGGATTTAAAAATATTTTAGAGGGTAACACATATTAATAATATATTTTTTTATATATGGATAGACAAATAAAATTTTAGGATAACTAATAAAACAAAAAAACTAATTGAAAGAAATTCAATTTTTAAGATAAACACGTATCTATCCTAAATGCTATGTGCGTCCATCACTAATTTTACTATATTCAATAATTAATCATACACTAAAATACATATCAATAATTATTCATATAAAAAATAAGCTCTAATTATGAGAACACATAGATACGAGGAACTTCTACATATAGTAAACATGTAACAGGTGACCAAATTCATTGAGTCTAACTAGCCAGCCAGCTGAAGTGGGTCCCAAAAAACACAGAGGACTTGACCAATGCCGCCGGTGGGTCTCCCATATTGAACACGATACTGAAACCATCCAAGGACTGCCTCATCGACGGGCCCTTTCCTTTGTCTTTTACGAGTACACAATATCAACTTGGTCATTATTAGATTCCGGTTTTACGAACCAAATATCTCTTTATTATTTTTTTAATAATATGAAGTGATAATAATAATAATATTTATTTATAATTTTTTTTAATTATTGATAATACATATACAACTTACAAATATAATTAATTAAATTCAGAATCTCAAGATAAAAGAATACTTCTTTTAATCATTATATCACTGGAGTTTATATTGCTTTTTACTCTTATATGGGAAATTGGTACAATTATTAAATGGGACATGTTAGGGTAAAAACCAAAGAGATCGGCCACCACCACCTTAAAACCAGGCCCCGCCTCTATAATTTGCATGGCTAGCTGCTGCTGATACCTGATGAATGTTTCTGTATATCCAGATTCTAATTAATAACGTGTCTTTTGAAGAATCCTATGGGATCCGTATGAAACATGCAACACTGTTTTTTATAATTAATTTTTCATAAGGTTTTCCTTTACGTGTCTTCATAAGCTATAATTAACAGGTTCCTTATGCATTTCCAAATCGTTGTTTCTGACACGTGCTATGTTGGTTGGTAACAAAAACATATACGCTTCACAGTTGGACTTTAATTAAATATAAATGAAGGGGAAAACAGCCGTCGGATTCTCGAGAAAATTCAAATATTATAAGGTAAGAGAATTCATATTGGATTCAATAAGGGAATGAAATATGTGAAGAATATGTTTTTGTTTATGTGTCTGTATTCAGAGCATACGTATCAAATCAACCGGACGGCTAAACAATGCCCTCAAATTTTAGGGATGGGGTTGGCTGATATGACAAGTTTGGTGACCGCTAGTGTTGAACATTTTTAGATAAATTTTGTCCATACAAATATTTTTAGAAATAGAAATATATAGACAAAAAGTTTATCAACCGTAACGGGTTTGATTTCAACACATGAAATGACAAGGTTACAAAAAGCAAATTACTATTTAATTAGTTAACAAGCAATTTATCGCGTAAATTATATGAATTAAAAGCATCAATTATTTATGAGCTTTTACTTGAGCCTACACATATCTAAAAGTTGATTTTTTTTTCTTTTTTTGTCTAAATTTAAAAATTCGTTTGATACATAGAAGTATAATGCAACATCCCGAAATCCGGGTCAGTGACTAAAATGAGAATTTTTGAAATTTGGGGATCAATTTAGGAAAATTGAAAAGTTTAAGGATTTAATAAGAATATTTCAGTGTTGGATAAAAGGGTGATTATGAAAGGATTATAAGGGTATTATGGTAAATTAGCTTGGAGGATATTTTTATCTCCCTTATTTAAGGAGATAACACGTGAGAAGAGAGATATTTGTAAACTTTCTTTCTTCTTCTTGCTTCCTCTTCTTCACGTGGAGTTTAGCTACAAAAGGTAAGTTGGATTTTTATGATTGTTTACTTGAATATTAAGTAGGTTTTGATTATTTGGGTGTTATATAAGCTTAAGTAAAGCTTATGTAAGCTTAAAACACTAAGAGGAGAGAATTAGAAAGGAAATTCTATTAAGAGTTTAAATATGAACTTTTGTTATATAAAGGTTTTTGAAGTTCTAAGGATGGATTTGACTTGCCAAAGGGTTAATTAAGAAGTTAGATGTGATAGAATTGAATTAAGAACACATGGAAAATTTGATGAAATTCTTTGATTCAAGAATTATGGTGAATTATGAGAGATGGTGAAGTGTTATAGTGTTATAAGAAGGTTTACATATGTATAAATAAGTTTTAAGATATAAGAAGGGGTTAATAAGTAGAATTTGAGGACAAAGTAAGACATTTTCGTGCTCAAAATCGAATTTCTGGGTTGTGTGCAT